TGGGACTTGTAGAATGTCCTTTGAAATTTTGTTTGTTTCATTTAGGGATGCACCAATACTGGTATCAGTGCCGATAACGAGTATTTGGCCAAGTACTCGTACTCACCCAAATGCTCCCGATGCCTATCCCAATATTGGAACTTCTGGTATCAGGAAGTCGGGCGGCAAGTTATTACACGCCGGCCGGCTTCCTGATTGCCCAGGAAGCCAACCCCATGCTCCTTCGTCACCAGGGACCATGGAGCTGGTTTCCCGGCCAATCAGGAATGCTCCCGATGCCTATCCCAATACTGGAACTTCTGGTATCAGGAAGTCGGGCGGTGAGTTATTACACGCCGGCCGGCTTCCTGATTGCCCAGGAAGCCAACCCCATGCTCCTTCGTCACCAGGAACCATGGAGCTGGCTTCCCGGCCAATCAGGAATGCTCCCGATGCCTATCCTAATACTGGAACTTCCGGTATCAGGAAGCCGGCAGGCGGATAATGACTCGTCCCCCGGCTTCCTGATTGGCCGGGAAGCTAGCTCCATGCTGCCTCGTCACTTGATGTTACCAGGCTGCAGAGCCCCCCCGGCTTCCTGATTGTCCAGAAAGCCGGCTCCATGCTTTCTCGTCATGAGGGAGCATGGAGACGGCTTTCCCGCAGGGGCGTGCAGGCAGGTGAGGCTGAGCCTCACCTAGAATTATGGAGGAAAAAGCTGTCAGGTTCATATTGAAGCTGACAGCTTTTTCTCCATTCAGATCTGCATCTAACAGGTTACACAGCAGGGAAAGCCTCCACGCTGTGTAACCTGTCACAGACGGAGCGCCTCATCAGTGAGGAGCAAGTGAGGGACAGTCACGGCTCTCTGCAGGGACAGGATCGAGAAGTGAGCGAGTGACGCTATGTGTTTGCTCACTTCCCGATCTACTGAGCCGACGTGTGACAGTCTCATTGTCACACGTCGGCTCAAACTATGAGGATGAGTGATTTTCACTCACCTCATAGTTCTCCTTAAAATGGAAAGCCCATGTAAAAGGGGCCAAAGGGGAAATGATCACAACGAGCGGACAGAACCTGGAACAGTTACCCATGGCAACCATACAGTTTCTCTTTTCAGTTTGTTCAGTTAAGCTTTGAGAAAAGACAGAAGCTAATTGGTTACTATAGGCAACTGCCCAGATTCTGTCTGCTTTTTTTCAGGAATAGTGTTATTTTACTCATTTCAGTTTTTTAAAAAGTCCACGCAATGGCACTTTTTATTTCTAAGTCCGGTATTTTATCCTTATTTTTCAAGTATGTCACAATGCTTTGTACAAAAAAAGCATTAAAAATCATTTTCGCTATATGTTTTGCACTTAAGAAAAGCAGACGCTGAATGTCACATAATGCAGAAAATTGCCCTTTATTCTCTTGTAGAAAGTGTAAAAAAAACAACTGCTAAGGTTTGATTCGTCTCTGCACATTTCTGATTTGTAGGAAAGTTGCATAATGACATTCGTGGGTTTTTTTTCTTTCTATTTATGTGCTATTATTATAATTGCTCATTCAACAATTTTCTAGCATCTGAATGTGCTAACCTTGAAATCTCGGGGTTTTGTGACAATTACAAGAGCTTGGCAATATGCCTCACACTGCTATTTTAACAAGCCATTTAATTTATGCGTATATTCATTACCAAGCAAGTCACGTCGTTGTGCATTAAGACCTTTTAAAAATTCAAAGCGAATCCACCCGAAGATAAATGCGTTATTTCTAGGATTTGTCTGTATTCACTGTTTGTGATGGGTACATAAAAAAAAAATAAGAAAAAAAAAAAAATAAGGCTTACTACAAAAGTCCTTTTTATTTCCATTTTAAATCTAAAATATATGACTACTTCCCTGTGCCTGATGTGTCAAGGTGCCCACACACCTCACGGTTAGTGTACAATAATATGCGATCGACTAATCGTACGACAATCGCAAGGTGTATGGGGAGTGTACAACCGCAAATACTGTACAATCGTACGACTTTTGTCTTTTCAATCTGTTGCACCTTTTCCATCTGACCACAGAAAATCTGCAGATAATTGTAAGGTGTATGGGCAGCTTTACACTGGATTCTGAAAAAATCATTCACCTGCACAGTGAATCCAGCATTATCCTACTGGTAGCTGCTGCTCTGCTGACACCGTGCCATCTTCCTCTACTCCAGGAGTGGCCAACTCCGTCCCTCCAGCTGCACTTTAACTACAAATCCCAATAAGCCTCTGGGAGTCATGCCTGTAACTGTCATTCTTGCAATGCCTCATGGGACTTGTAGTTCCACAGCAGCTGGAGGGCCAGAGTTGCCCACCCCTGCCCTACTCAGTCATCAGTAGCTGGCTGTCTTTTCTGGGTTTGTGCAGCAAAGACCACAATGACTTGTCTCCAGGTCCACCTTTCGATCTTCAATGTACCTGTAGATATCCCAGGAGGTTGCAGGAGCAGGGGCATTTCATTCTCATCTAGGCAAGGCCCCCCCCCCCAAAAAAAAATTTAAAGTGTAAACAGTCCCTCACAAAAAGGCTTTTTAAAATGTTGGACGGGGTAGCCATGGGGATTAAGAGAGAGGATGAAGGTCCACCTTAAATAGTCACCTTTTATACATGGTAGGATAGGTACATGTGCAGCTAATGTCTTGTTCACATTAAGGCCTCGTTCACACCATCCTCAGTGCATTCCGGCCCGATTGTGGCCGGAACGCACTGGATCGCATTGCGGCCGGCTCAGTTTGTTGTGTGGCGGGAGGGGGCGTGACGGTGCATTAAAGTGAATGGCACTGCAACCACGACCCCCGTCCGCAATGCGATCGGCCGCATGGGAACGCAGGACACATCGAGGCCTGCAGTCCGGTCAGAAAAAAATGCTGCAAGCACTATATTTTTCTGACCGGACCACAGCTAGTCATGTGCCTTGCGTTCACGTGCGGCCGATCACATTGGTGCTGCAGTGCCATTCACTTCAATGCACCGCCACGTCCCCTCCCACCCCACAACAAACTGAGCCGGCCGCAATGCGATCCAGTGCATTCTGGCCACAATCGGGCCGGAACGCACTGAGGATGGGGTGAACGAGGCCTCAGGCAGTTGTTGGGTGCTTGAAAGGCTGTCGTGAACCCTGCCGAGTACCTCCAAAAAGAAGGGGATGGAAACTGAAAAACTAAACCAAGGGCAGGCGACCTTGGCACTCCAGCTGTGGTAACACTACAAATCCCATCATGCTTCTGCCTCTGGGAGTTATGCCTTTGACTGTCAGAGTCTTGCAATCACTCATTGGACTTTAATTTACATAACAGCTGGAGTGCCAAGGTATCCTACCCCTGAACTAAACTGAAAAGTGTCAGTTCACATATGAGTGATTGGCAGCCAAGGTGGTGCAGTGTGATGGTCATACACTTATGCAACATTTGGGCTGTGGCGGGCCTGTAGATTTTAATTCTTCAATGTTCTAGCCAAGAGCCTAATACTTGCCAGAAAATAACGGCAATGTAGTATAAATGAAGCCTGAGAAACAAGATTGTGATTGATTGCCAATGACGAGTGACTGTTGTAGCAGAGCATCCCAGAAGTAGCCTGGGAAAGTTCGGAGTTTATAGGTCTCCTAGGTTCCTCTCCTATACATTTAGGAATTGCTGATCCAGGCTCCAGGGCCGGGTTTACTCCTCTCTCCACTGGCAATTTAAAGTGACATTAAAGGCAAAAATGTCCGTCCCCCCCCCCCCATGTTAATGTCAGCACTTACCTTTAATGATGTTTCTTAATTGGATCTTCTTCTTTCCTGTCGTTTTCATCTGTCCCTCCACCGCTGTGGCGGATCTCCGATTCTGGGCTTGCTGGCACTTCCTGTCCCACGGTGTCCGCATGCGTGTGCACGCGTCCATAGACTTACCTCGTGTCTCTCCTCGTCTACCGGCCGAAAATGTGAACTGCGCATGCGCCCGCCCCAAGATGCTTTGCGGCCGCCCGAGAACTTTCACATTTTCGGATAGGAGCGCGCAGGGAAGACACGGGTAAGTATTAACCCTTTTCAAAGCGGTTTGTTTTTTTAAAAAGCTTTTTGCATATATCTACTGCTGGCTAGTAGTAGATATATGCAAAAAAAGATGTGGGTTTAATTATCCTTTAATCTCACCTGGAACCTGTACTCAGAGCTCTCTGCCTGGGGATCAGACAAGTCCTGTCAGAGAGCTGCAAGGTTGGTGAAAACTTGCAAACAGTTTATGTGGAGGCCGACAAGCGGTAGGCCTGCTCAGCCTGTTAGGAGCTTTATCTTTTTGTATGTGAAGTTAGTGCCGGGGTACGGCTAGGTTTTATTTTGTTGATTTCTTGTGAACTACTGTACAGCACCTGTGAATGTTCTTGTTAAAGGAGAACTATGGGGTAGGGCTTTTCCCCATAGTTCTCCTTAGGGTAACGGGAGGACACAAACTAGCGTCCTCCCGTTACCCTAAGCTCAGTATACCGCGAGCTACAGCTCGCGGTATACTGAAACGTCGCAGCCGGAGCGGATACCGACATCGATGTCGAGATCCGCCCAGCTGCGTGAGTGACAGCTGGCATTGCCTATCTAGAGGCAGAGCCAGCTGTACCCGCCCCCTCCCCCGTCCGATCCGCCAGTCAGTCCCTCCCCTGTCACGGCAGAGAGCCGTGACAGGATCGAGAGGTGAGCGAACCTGGTATGTGTTCGCTCACCTCCCGATCTACTGAGCCGACCTGTGACAGTCTCATTGTCACAGGTCGGCTAGAACTATGAAGTGAGTGAAAAGCACTCACCTCATAGTTCTCCTTTAATATCACAAATAAACACTGCACTGTTTGCCACTACTCCCCTGGATTTGATCTCTGTGCCAAGAGACTGCTTATTCCCTGGGGTCTTATGTACCAGCTACCGATCGCATGCTCACACTGTTTATACAATATTTTTGGTTATGACCGTTTTTTTAAAGTAAAAATTCAATGTATTTTTGTTTCTTTTCCCACCCTAGGCCGATAACGGTGTCAGTGTTGAAGCAACGATGGGCGTCAAAGGACTTCAGAGCTTTGTCCAGAATGCCTGTCCCAGAGCCTGCAGTATTGTCAGCTTAAAGTCATTGGCTAACGGGCACAAATCTTCTCATCCAGAATTGACTCCTACCATTGTTGTAGATGCAATGGGCTGCTTGCGCACTTGGTACACACCTAATGATTGGATACACGGAGGCCAATGGAAGGAATATCTTTCCAGCTTAGAACATTTTATTGCAGCCTTTGAGGCGGCTGGTATTAAGCTTGTATTTGTCTTTGATGGTGTCATAGAGCAGAAGAAGAGGGCAGAATGGGCTAAGCGACGGCTGCGGGACAACATCGAAATAGAGAAAATCTTCCGTCTTTTAAAATCTAACGGGCAGCAGCCTGGCAGGAATATGTTTTTTATCCCTTCTGGTATAGCTACGTTTACACGATATGCTTTGAAGGCTCTAAACCAGCAAATCATTTGCACTCAAGTGGAAGCTGATTATGAAGCAGCTGCATATGCTCTGCAACACAACTGCCTTGGCATTTTAGGGGAGGATAGCGACTATATAATCTTTAACACTGTGCCATATTTTTCCGTTAACAAACTTCGCTTGGACAATCTTGCCACACTGATGTATTCGAGGGAAGACTTGTGCGATGAACTTGGAATCCATATTTCAGCTCTACCGCTTCTGGCAAGTCTGCTTGGCAATGACATCGTTCCAGAGAACTTGGTGAATGGTTTTCATAGGAAGTGCACCGCCTCCTATCACTCAAAAACAAATGAAGGTAATAGGAGGGGCAATGTTATTAGGGCCGTTGCCTCTTTTATTTCAAAAATACAGCACAAGCCTAATGGCCTTGAAGAGGTGCGGAAAATGTTACCAGCGGGATTTGATATGGCGTTGCTGCAGAAAGGAATAGAATCTTATATTCTGCCAGAGCAAACATCCCCTTGGGTTTTCCGGGGGTCACACTGCACATCCAAGCAAGAAACAACTGTGTTCCAAGATCGGGAAATTATTCAGGTACTTAGTTAAATTATTTTAAGCGTATCTAAACCCAAGAACACAAATGTATAATATTGCAGCTCACCAGTCCTTAGATATTGTAGCTGCATTGGTTTTCCTTTTTAGGCTCTTTTCCTTGATTTTCTGGTGTTCCTGTCAGCGACACACTTCCTGTCCTAGGCTGGGCCGCATTAAGAGCATCATGGGCCTAGTGCTGTCGGTCGGGCGGGAATAGCAGAGGCGACTCTCTAATTAGGCAGCTATCTGCTCCTCACTGGGGCCCCGAGAAGCCACAGTGAGAAGCCGCCTAATATGCCTGATTAGAGAGCCGCCGGCGCCTCTGCCTAATTGTGTTTAGCCTGGCCGGCCCGGATTGCTATCGGGCATACTGAGGCGATCCGGGCTGGCCGGGCCTATTTTCAGTGGTGGGCCTGGAGCTGGCACTCTAGTAGCCCCTATATTAATCTGGTCCTAGGGGAGACCACGCTCACTCACTATAGAGATGCATACTTGTCACCCTACTTAAAGGAGAACTATGAGGTGAGTGCTTTTCACTCACCTCATAGTTCTAGCCGACCTGTGACAATGAGACTGTCACAGGTCGGCTCAGTAGATCGGGAGGTGAGCGAACATATACCGGCGTTCGCTCACCTCTCGATCCTGTCACGGCTCTCTGCTGTGACAGGGGAGGGGCTGGATTCCCCCTCCGCGCTCCGATCCGCCAGCCCTGACTGGCGGAATAGACGGGGGAGGGGGCGGGTACAGCTGGCTCTGCCTCTAGATAGGCAGAGCCAGCTGTCACTCACGCAGCTGGGCGGATCTCAACATCGATGTCGGGATCCTCTCCGGCTTGTTGTGGAAATTTTACTAGGATGTGTTTTTAGTGTATTGTAATGTTTTGTCATTAGTCTCTCAGTGTCTAGGTAAATGGACACTGGGGGATTAATCCATTGGAGGAGATATCTTATGCGCGGCGGAGCAGTGTCTTCTTGGCGAATGTATGGACGCCGGCTGGGGCCCCCCGTGCAATCCATGGATTTATTGGCTTGCGTGGATACATTTGTTTGGAACGCAGTATATGGAAGGAACGTGCGTTTGTTCTCTCTGGTGTGCCTGATCAACACGCTAGAGATAATGACGTTGCCTGAATATAAGTGCACATGAGAATCCTAGTAACGTTATGTGGCATTGATCACTGAGCAATGCTGGATAAAGTCACTCCGGTGGTCATAGATTATTCTACTACATGTGATTGTTCTACTAATGTGTTTTGTAGACTGGCTATGTATTGAGGAAGTGCTTGTTAACCTCACTTCCTGGTTTGCTGGTTGTTGAAATCATCTGTTGGTTTTGCTATCACTTCCTGTCTGGCCCCATTTTCCTGTCTCGCTGTTTGAGACACCCCTTCCTGTCTGACATCACTTCCTGTTGGGCAGGTATAAACAATAAACATACCTGTGTTCAGGTCTCTTAGCATGGGATTATCAAGCGAGCAACACATGTCTCCTGACTCTACATGACTCTGAAAGGGATACTTCCAGTTCTCGCACAAAAGAGCGTCGTACAACGGGGGAAATTCTTTGCGTTTGGCGCAGCTTAATGCGACATGGATTTGTGCGTTGAAGCAAGCGAATTTCCATAACAGGCTGCGGCCTGTTATGGAAATTCGCTAGTTTGTGTCCTCCCGTTACCCTTAGGAGAACTATGGGGAAAAGCCCTAACCCCATAGTTCTCCTTTAAGGACTACATCAGGACTCTATAACATAGAGGGAAAGTGTCTCTAGTCCTTAGAGATAGATCTGACTAATGTAACTGATCTCAAACAATATGGTTTATTTAACAGCTCAAATGGTACCAAATAAGAATTCATTGTTAGAGTTTACATATCCTTTAAGATATATTCACAGTTATTCATTTACAGTATATGGTTTGCAATACAGTTGTGTACCGGTAAAGATTAAAGTGTATTTACACTATGCAGTCACATTTTAGAAACCCTTCTATAAGTACTGTATGTTATGTGATTCCATTCACATCATACCTACAACATTTAAAAAAAACAAAAACCTTACCTTTTCAGATGTTTATTTGGAGCAGGCCTTTGGGCAGATTGGAAGGTATTCTGAACATTTTCAGAAGTGAGTGTGTCCCCAAGACAGCGCTTTATAACATACAGTATAATGCAAGAAGCCAAGCCTCTCAGTGTTTTAAAGTGTGTGTGTGTATATGTGTGTATATATATGGCCACTCAGTTCGCTGGCGGCCCCAATTTGCACGTTCAGACCCAGATTTTCGGCTGACAGTCCAGTCTTTAAACACAACAGCTGCTCAAATTCTTAACAAATTCTGCTGTTGTGCTGATACTCGCTCCATGGCTCCGAGCGCCAACATTCATGCCACGTTCAAAGGCTGTTAAATCGCGTTGTTTACCCATATCTTCAGAAAAAATCACTTCATAGCTAATTTTAGCTAATTTGCCTACAAACGTCAGGTGTTCATAATAATCTGGCCACTCAGTGTATATATAGCGCGCACTCAGAGAGTTCGAGACCATACTTTGCAGGGGTGCCTTGACCCACCAGTGTGGCTTCATATGTATTTGCAAGATCCTCTGTTTTCAAATTTTGTACTCACCTTCCCTCCAGCAATGCGACATCCGCCAGCTCTCTCACCAATGCCTACATCTTAGGCCTTGTTCACACAAAGCGCGGAGCTGGTGCAGAGCAGAGCAGTTACAGACCGGATCAAAACTGCGTCCAATCTATTCCAATGGTATTTTTTGCTCCAGTTCATCGCAGCGTGCAGTTCCAGAGCAGGTGAAAAACTGCAGCAAGCCCTATTTTACCTGCTCTGGAACGCATGCAAACGCATCAAAAACGCATGCAAATGCCTGGAACACACTGAAAGCCCACATTAAACTAAAAAGAAAAAAACGGCCCGGAACGCAGCAAAAACGGGGCAAAAAACGGGGAACAACCTACTGCACTGTGTGTGTAGAAACCTGAACGGATCTGCTCTGCATTTGGTGTGAACAAGGCCTGAGGGCCTGTTTACATGATTTTCAGGTCCGTATCAGGTGCGGATCTGCAGACGCTATGTGTTTTTGCTGCGTTTTTGATGCGTTCAAGTATGGAGTGAGGCTGTCAGTATGTTAGCTGCATTGCAATGCGTTTTTGACATGTTTTGCGTTTCCTGAACGGACTGCGCACGTGAGAACTGTAGCCCATAAAACACAAAGGGATGCATTTTTAGCGCAGAAGCGTACGGATCAGGTCAGCACAGAAAACGGATGTCGTGTGAACAGGCCCTGAGTCTGGGCTTCTTCGGTCATTTTGATTGGTTGGCCCAGGATGATATAACTCCCGCACATGCACAGGTAGTTAATTCCCGGCTCAGGGAATGCTGACAATGTACACTGAAACTGTACATGCACGGCTTGGGGTACCATTGAAATAAATGAACATTTCTGGCACGCATGTAACACACTTTACTGCAGAAAAGACAGATAGTCAGCAATAAAAGCCTGCCGGCAAAGTTTTACTAAAAGGCTTTAGTTCCACTGTAATGTAAAATGCTGGAACCGATCAAATGGGCTTTCTGCTGATGTGCAGAGCAGATGATTGTCACCTAAGGTAAATGTAAGTTTAAATGAGCACTTAAAAAATCATTGATCTATTCTAATTTTTGGGGGGAGGGTTGATAAATACGTTAATTATTAGTTCACTGGTACTATTTTGTTTTACACGGATGGGGCCTACGCTTTATGTTGTAGTTACTTTATAACCCTACCTTCTGTAGAACAGGAATATTGAGGGCTGCACAGAATCTTATATCATGTATATGCATTCCATAATGTCTCTGCTGGTATAGAAATAGGATGTTTTATAGTTAGTGACTTGCACGTTTTTCTTGTATACTTTTATTGGTGACGTGTCTCTCTCTAAGAACAACTATTTTACAGCCACAATTCTGGAAAAAAGCTTGTTTCCCCCTCCCACCCCCTTCTCACACATACCACCAGGATTTTCTTCTTTTTTTTTTTAACCTGTTGAAGCAAGTTATACTCACCTAAGTCTCCCATCTAGGGCCCTTCGCTGCCAATGTTGCGGGTGCAGGGGTCCGCTCATGCAGCACTGCAAATGGTCCCCTTGTGATGAAATTACACTTCTACTGGATCTTTAATTGGGGTATACACGGTTCTATTGTTTTGGTTCAAACCCGTCACTGTATGAAAAAAAAATAGAACAGGTTCCTCCATCAACATTTAGGAATATTGACAGACGTATCCCCCACTGTTTGAATTGTATTCTGACAGCGGCCACTGTGGCATACCCAGATAGAGCTAGCAGCTGATTTAATTTTCCAACCGGCTTCTTCGATCAGCTGATTGAAGGATGCCGGGGGGAAGGATGCCAACAGTGTCCAGTCATCAGAACCAGCCAAAATTCAAACCGTGTGTATCCTAAGTGGACCCCACTGCTGGACAGCCAATTGGAAGTGTTCACCTCACACAGGCAGTGATGTGGACAATTGAATAAAGCAGAAAGTAAACAAAGGAAAAGAGCTTCACATTTATCCTGGAGGTGGGCTTTAAATAATTAATGACTATATTGTATTCAGCAAAAAGTTTGGTTTCCCTAATCAAATCTCTGTAAGACCAGCAATAGCCAAGCAGCAGTGAAACTGTTAAGAAATGTTGCGGTTTGATTGCTGAGGATTGATTGTCACTAATTCACAGACATGTGTATGTAAAGGTTGAGGAAACACCCTTACTTCCCCTAGTCAGTCATATCTGACAGGTGGTGAACCATGTTGCAAATGTCTTTCATGTCTTTACAGGTATGACAGTTTAACAGATTAACAGGTACTGATAGTTAAAGGTAGACAAAATCCCACACGAAGGCATGAAAAAGCAGCGAATCAATAATTCAACCTTTTGTGACAAAGCTTTTGTGAATCAGATTCCACATAACACACGCACACACTGAGCTGGAATTCCCATTACTCTGGGGAGGCAG